ATCTTACTGTATTTAACCTTATCCTTAGCCAGTAGTTTCAGGTAGGATTTGATGTCGCCCGTTCTGGCCCCCGGCAAACATTTGACTATGGTCCCTGGTGTCTCTAATGCCACGTTTCTGACTATGGAGCTGCCAATCACCAGAGTGGGCTTCTCAGTGGGTGTGTCACTGAGTGGGGAAAACCGGTTAGAAACGTGAACGGGTTGGTGGTGACCAGTGGGCAGAGATCCACGACTACGCTTTCTGCGTACAGTTACCCAATCGCCTGGCTGCTCAGGCACTTTTGGAGGACAGCTACGTGGGGGGCCTACTTTAACTCCTGGATGTTCAACAGCCTGAAGCCTGGATTCTAACTCTGACACCCTCGCCTCCAAAGCTACAAAAATACTACACTTATTACACATCCCATTATCACTAAAGGAGGCAGAGGAATAACTGAACATCTGACACAGAGAGCAGGAGAGAGGAGAGGAAGAAGGAAGAGTTGGAAAAGAGTCAAGGGAGGGAGAGAGAGAAGCCATAGCAATGCTAAGCTAGCGCTAGCCTAGGCTAGCTACTCCTTGCTATCAGAAATAAAACAGTGTGAAACTGACAAGTGCTCAGTAGAAAAGTGCAGCAGAAGGTGCTATGTTTTAAAGTAGTCAGTTAGAGTTAGGCTACTTAGATACAGAGATATCACAGAGAAAATAACTTAACTTCAGATGGAGATCCTCTGAACAGCTGCACACTCAGTTAATCCAAACAGGAAGTGTCATATCAATGCATCTTTGCACCATGGTTTGTTTTCCTCCCACACTGTTTACATTGGATCACTGCTGCACTTTATGGAATGGAAATGTTCATTTCACTGCTGCACATTTACTGTCTGAAAGCTGCACAAAACAACATTTCTGGGCTTTAACTAATCCAGTTAAGAAGTTCCCGGTAGAACCACATTGGCTGACAAAAAAAAAAAAAAAGTTTAATCTGCAAACAAAATTTAGTTATAATAGCTGCTCTTTTAGCAATGAATGAATACTAAATTAGTTTCAATAATTAATTAATCACAAGTATTTCACCAACTGGGACCAAACCAAAAGAGAGAATCACTAAACATCATCTAGGAAAATGCTATTAAGTTTTGATTTCACTTAAGCTGACAACACATAAAAAAGAAGGATTTAACTGTAAACTCCAGCTGTTGTACGATGATTCTCACCAGTTCAGAATAAAAGAATAAAATATATTTCTGTCAGGCTGCTTTTTATCATCCAAACGGGACCATAAATGGATTTAAGTTTGATAAATGGTCTTTATGTGACTGTGTCTGTTTCTAGGTTAATCATTTCAAACCATTGTGTTCATTTAACAAAGGGAAGTGATAAAAATAGCTCTGTCTTACCTGTCCAGGTCCATGCCGCATCTGCTGGTTTGTTGGACCGGAGGGAGGAACCGGATCAGCTCAGGCTGTGTGGGGCTCTGGACAGCCTGGGGCCCCTGAGGCTCTCCTATTAACAGCCAACAGAGGAGTCAGTAACCTGCCCTGCGACTATATAGCCCAGTGTCTGCCTTGGTCTCGGCTTAAAAACAGACAAAAAACAACCTTTTCTAAAAAGGGACGCGTGTGTGTTTGTTCAGCTTTAAGTTTAGTAGAAAAAGTTTCGCTTGGAGATGTGAAACACCTGGAGAGGCAGGACAGATAAGGAAACCTGAGCGCCTCTGCTGATTGGTCAGAACAGGCAGCACCTTTCTTCTTCCCATTGGTGGGTTCAATGAACTGTATGGAGTGACTTTGCTACCATTATTTTTGAAATTGGAAAAATTTAATCCAGAATTTTTCAAGATACTTTTACCCCCCCCCCCCCCAAAAAAAAAAAAAAAAAAAAAAACTCTGCTTTTTGTTTTTATTTTTTTCACTTTTTTTTTTTACTTGGCTTGCTAATCTGACTAATAGGTGAGAGAGAGATTTGTAAGATTATCCTGGTTCAGTTCTTTAAAAATATCTGTGTTCTAGCATTTAAAGTGTTTTTTTTTCTGTTTCACAACTGGCTTTTTGGGATGTCGTGAAAATCTTCAGTATTGTTTGCCATGTTAATTTGAACTGTGTAATGATGCTGTCACGGTCTTGGTTCTGCTAAGTTTTCTTTGAGGTTTCAGTTTCACGTTGATTTATGTTTTTCTTTGTTTTCTAGTTGTATTGATTTAATTCCTATTTTGTTGTGTTTTTTATGTATTTGTGTTCTTAGGTTTTTTCTTTGTTGCCCTCTTGTGTTGGTCTCCTTTTCCCTAGCTCCTTTCTAGAATCCTCTGTTCACTACTGCTCTAAATCAGCTGATAGTCCTGCCTTTGCTCAGTCAGCCATAAATACACTTCCTGTGCAATTCCTCCGTGCTGGTTCCTCGTCTCTCCCTGGCTCCTTGTGCTTGTTTTCCCTGATGTCTCCATGGTTCTGGTTTGTTTTAGATTTTTATGTTTGATTTCTGGATTCATGCCTCATTTGCTTTCTTCAAGAACTCACCTCTGCCTTCCTGCCTCTACATTTGGGTCCTCAAAACCTCAACCAAACCCTGACAGATACTGGGCTACCTGAAAACGTTTCCATATACCATTGTTTGATTTTTGGCATTTCTGTGTAAAACGGATTTTAAATTATGCTGATAAATTGTGTAAGTTACTTAAAAATGTCTAAATGGTTGCCTTTTGTTTGTTTACATCATGAGCCCATGTTATTGTATTTTATTGTTTGTATGCTTTAGTTTTTCCAGTGATTTCTGCAAAGAATAAAGAAGTCTGTAGATCTGATGGTAAAGAGTCATCTTAACAGCACCTCACAAATCTATATTTCAGTGAAGGCCCTGTAAAGGATGGTGAGGGGAACTGAGAGATCACTATCCTTTCTTCAGGACCTGTTAATGAGCAAAACAGCAGGAAGGCTTTGATTGTTGTCAGTCACTGAACACATTGTCCTGCACAATTTATCTGAAATACTGCAATTTATAAAACCTGACTGCAACAGAAAACTTAACTCCTTAGTAAAAATCCACAGTGTTAAATATGTAGTGTCAGAGTTATTACAACAACTGGAGTAAGATGTAAGCTACATCGAGTTCTAATTTAACACTAATTCCGAGTGGGACCAAATGCACTCTTAAAGTGTTACTTTAAGTGCAATGTTACTTTAACACTGCAAGAAAATATTGACTTGTAAAGTTTATTTTATCACTGCACTTGTTTATCTGCTGTCATTCTGAATTTTCAATCCGTTTGTATTATCATATACTTATGAACTGACTGTTCAAACAGTTTTAGGTTATAGATCCTGGAGGCGACTTTAGTTTGGTTTATGTTTAATATTCAGTTGTTTAATATGCATCATAATAGCAAGGTGAAGTGAATAATTTTTGTTAATACAAAATCCAAACTTGCCACAAACCAATTATTCAACCTAAGGTCATCTTGCAGAGTGCCTGTGTTTTTAGGCTGCACCCTGACATCTAGTGGCAGGCATTTCATCTTACAACCACAGATTTATTACTTTACTATAAATTGATGCCAACACTATTCAGGCAGGACACATTAAAATGTGTAAACTGCATAAATTAGGCATTATTCGTTAACATGCATAATATTTTTATTTAATTTTGAATACGATATAAGAGGTGGCTATAGCGTTAAATTAGCATCCTCACATGTCATTTCAGAGTAAAGCAGCTGAATTATACAAATTAGTTAAATCTGTTGCATCTGCATGAAAATCTGTTAATGAAAAAGATTTACTATTGAGTTTGTTTTTTTTTGTACTATTAGAAGCCATTTTACTGTACTGCACTTTTTTGCTTACTTGAGTAATAATATTTTAACTTTATTGATCTCACATTGGAGAAATTTACCTCTGCATTTTACCCATCCGTTTGGGGAGCAGTGGGCTGCCATCGTGGGGAACAATCAGGGGTTAAGGGTCTTGCTCAGGGACCCAGAGTGGCAGTCTGAGGGGATGGGGCTTGAACTCATGACCTCGGGATTTCAAGCCTTATGCCCGCATCACTAGACTGCCATTCCCCCCGTCTGGCAAATGAAAAAGAAGCAGGATGACAAAAAGAAAAGAATGGAATAGACAAGAACAGAACAGAAACAGCGTATTAAAATGAGACCTCATGTTGGTAAACCAGCTGTGTTTTCTAAGGTTATTTTCTACCTGCTCAGCCTCCTAGATCAAGTAAAACAAATACAGCAAGCTACATATTATAATCAAGGTAGCAACATGTTTTATCATTGTTTACAAATGATCTGGGACCGCTTTTCTTCTGCTATGAATTTGATATTGTGTAATCGTGTTACATGTTCATTTATTTTATTCTTAAAAATACCAGAATTTACACTGATTTTTATTTTTTATTTATTTATTTTAAAAATCTGACAAATACATTTGGAAATAGTCTAAGTTACTCAGGTGAGATTGTAATCTTTTATAGGGCAATGGTATACAAAATGTAAGTGCCAGTATCAGCATTAATGCCTTTAAGGTTATGTTGTACAAAAAAAAAAATTCTTTTATTCTCAGAGTATTTCATGAATTTCTTATAGAAGCACTTTTGGTATTTTTCTGAATATATTAGGGCAGGTTGGCATTTTTTGTTATTGACATAATTTTTTGTCATGAAAATATCCATATTTAATTATTTTTACAAAGGCAATAAGGCTCTTTCCTGGATTCCAATAAAACTATTGGGTTGATATTTTAATTTTCAAAGTATTTCACTGAGTGCTATATTAAGGTTTGTTGGGTTTTTTGTGTGTTTTTAAGATTTTTCACAATTGCTTGAATATTTTCTTGGAGTAAAATACTTTTACTTTATTAAAATATGTTTAAGTAAGTTAGTGTTATTCTTGAGCACACTAGTGGTGTCACTTAACCCAACTGTTTTATAGTTTCGATAGTAATGGTGCTGCATTTACGTGTTGAAAATAAAATATTTATATATTCCCGAGCCATTAGTCACGACCGTGAAGGCAGCACATTTTGAGCATGCGCAATAGAGCGCTGTAGGCAAGCCGTTCGGTAGCCGCGGATGGTGCAGAGGAAGCTGGCGTTTGTTTGATTTTATCATTGGGGGGCTCTTGAGATTAATACGATTATTTTGATCGGTAAGCCATTTAGAGATGCTCTGTTTACGTAAGTCAAATACCGAAATTTACGTACATAATTTCTACGCATTACTCCTGCTAGTAGCTAATCTAGCTGCATGGTTTAGTAACCGGCTAATGAAATGTGTGTTTATAATGGTTTAAAGAAACAAAGAGTTAGCATTTATATTCATGTTGTTATTATCTAATAAATTGCTGTTTTTAGTTTTACCTTCTAAGTTTAGCCCCACCGTTTTAATCCCTTTAAATAATGCTTGATGCTAGCAGCTAGGCTAAAGTGTTAGCCTTCCGGTGCTCTGTTCATTTACTATTATGTGCTTTTAGAGGCGGTTTGTGCTATTGTTAGGGCTACTGGTGGTAATATTATATCCCTCTAGTCTCCCTGTTGATATCGAGTCAAACATGGTTCATAGAACCAAAGAAAGTGACCCAGTTATACTGAATTTATGTCAGCTGTATCATTTTCTTTGGGGAAATTTCCAAGTTAATTGCCTTATCCCTCTGACCTAAAAATAGTTAATTAACCCAATTCTGCTGGATGTTGCACACATACTTTGTTTTACACATTTTGAAACATATCAGCATCCTATTTTATTTTTCAATGAATTTTTAACATTTAATTTTCTCCTTTTTTAACCACTTATAGTTTGCCAGCCAGTTTAAATACTCATTTGGACCTATATCTGATGGTGGCATCATGTCTGATTTCTCCAGGTGTGACACCAGATATGGCCCGTGGGCACCAGAAGTTTCAGTCCCAGCAGAAAAATGCCAAAAAGCAGGCGGAGATAAAGAAGAGCAAAGGGCATGACCAGAAGGCAGCAGCCAAGGCTGCCTTGGTGTATACCTGCACTGTATGCCGGGTATGGAAAGCAGTAAACGCACAGTATTCGTTATCAAGCTGGGCAGCTGCAAGGCTTTAAAGTTGAAGGGGAAATCATATTTAAATCTCAAATCATTCTTGCTTAAGCATGTATATAAATATGCTCTTTATCAGATGAAATTGTCCCAAAAGTTAGAAAATTTCTATTTAAAAAGAAAATCCTGTCTTAAAATCTGTTATCTTATGCAGGCCAGTTAGTTATACATCAGCCTGAACACCTAAATTCGGCCAATCATATATCAACTGTCATCTGTCAATCAAATTTTTTCGGTCATAGCATCTATATTCATATGTCGCGGCTAATATATGCAATGGTTGAAATAAGAATAATTTCCTTTCCCATTGAGTTCCGTCCCAGTGTTCACGGGGATGGACGTCTGTGTCTTCAGCAGGCGTAGAGCTAACAGAACTGGCAGCGTTGCGAGGCAAGGGCTCAAACATGTACGGCTGGAAGCCTTCTACACCAAACCAAGCTTCTGCCGCCCTGGCGTCCTCTTCCACAACATCTTCGTCCCCGCTTTCCTCCTCTAAATAAAAAATGGATGACGGAGGAGACTCATCCACGACCTCCAACACAAAACTCTCCTCCTCTTGCATGTTTCCGCTGTCCATATTGTTCCTTGAGAGTGTCGATTCTAAGTCAACAATTTAGTGCTACTTGGTCCCAATGGAATTTCCCATTGGGAACCTACTAGCACTAAGTTGCTAATTGGTTAGCCAGATGCTTCCGAGACACCGGCCACAATCAAACGTGCTTGCAAACCTTCCACCACAACAATCCTGCCGCCTTGATAATCGACCAATCGCATTCACTTCACTCATGTAAAGTCGTGCACAACTCTGGAGAATTCGGAATTGCATCGGTTGGAACAGCCGCTTAGCTACGACTTTAATGTTTGAAAAGCTTTTTATTAGGATTTATAATTATAGAGCAGACTTGGACTTAACTTTGTGAATTACTCCTTCAGGGAAGTTCTGGTTCCAGTAGTTTAAAGTTCAAAGAGTTAAAGGAAAATGCAATTGATAGGGAGCTCAGTAAAACACTTTGAAAATCAAAATTTCAAGCCAATAGTGTTATTGGAATCCAGGACAAGACCTTATTACCTTGGTAACATAAAAAGATATGGATATTTTGATGGCAAAATTAATTTCATTTAATAACAAGAAACAGCAACTTGCCTGAATATATTATGAAATATGACAAAAGTGCTTCTATAAAAAATTTATGAAAAACACTCTGAGATTCAAAAAAACAAATTTTTTTTGGTACAACATAACCTTAGAGGCATTAAAGGGGAACGCCAGTTTTTTTACATTGGCACCTTGATTTTACATCATTACATCATGTTCTACTCAACCATATGGGTTTTGTCCATTTGTAAAGGGATGCAAGTGATCAAAAATGGTAGCTTGCCCTATAAGAGGGTTAAAGATAAAAAATACAACAGACAATATAAAAAGTGTGTATAATAGTACAAAAGTGCATAACAAAGTTGTAATATCTTGTAATAAAAGCCATGGAAAGACTACACAGTTGGATTATGAAAATTATTCACAGATTATTATGAAAATGGGTGAAATATGAAAAATAGGTTCGTTAAACCTTCTTGCAAAAAATTGTAAAAAGTTGTTTCTTATGTGCAGCCCCAAGAATAATACTGCTAAGTAAAAGCCAGTCTAACAACATAGAACACGTGGAAGAGTAGTTTAATGAAGGTTTACATCTAATCAAGCTTTAAATGTCTCCTGGTGAAGATTATTTATCTAAACAGGCAGCTGAACCGTCTAAAGTAACTCTGTAGGAGCTGTAGGAATCTACAGCTTAGGTGGGAGATGTTGGCAGTGAGCTTAGTGCTACACGTGAAATGTCACATGAGGTATAAATATAAAAAATAAAAAAGCCCATAATTCTGCACACTATCTGAGCGAAATCTGTTTTTGTTTTGTTTTTTTGTTTATTTGCATCATGCTGTGGAGATGCTTTGTCTTCAACAGGAACATACTGGTCAGTTTTTCAGAATATGTGTGTAAATGCAGGGCAGTAATGGAAGAAAACGTGTCTGAGCCTGCAGCAGCAGATGTTTACATTCTATGTTAAACTCAGAGCTGCAGAGGAAGAGCTTGAATCAGAGGATGTTCAAGCGGTTAAAGTCCAGACCTAAATCTAATACAGTCTGATTGTTGAGCCACTGTCTATCAAATCTGACTGAAATAAAGCTGCGAAAGAACAAAATAAAGAGATATCCTGCCTTAACCGCATAGAAAGGTGTTTCTATGACACAGATCTTTATATAACTCTATCCTTGTATTAGTTTACCTAGCATAATTCAGTAAATCTAGAAATGGCTAATCACAGCTGAGCTGCTCTGATGGCTTGCTGTTTTTATATTGAATAACTGAGGTTAAAGAATTTAATTCTTGTGTCCCAAAAGACGACGGCAGTAGTTAAAGGAAAATTCCGGTTTTTTACTTTTTAAGCCCATTTTCTGTAGTGTCCAGGATGAAATCGAATGATCAACACCAAAATTTTGACGATTGGTCCTGTCTCGGCTATTTGGCTCATATAGAATCCCCCCTGGCTGCTTCAGAATGGCTTCCATTGTGCATGTCCGATAATGTCCTTAAAACAACCTTAAACGTTGTTTTTTTTAAATATGCTACTCACCGGGTCGTCAGCGCTGTTCAATGACGTTCCAAAAAAAGTTTCGTGAAGAAAAACCGTTCCTGTCTTGTTTTATTTAGCATTTTGTAAATCCCAGAACTATTTTTTCCGATACATCACAACCGCTTATAAACTTCAGCTTCCCGTTCGAATCTGAAGCGTTGCACACTCCAGACCACTAGTTGGCGACAATGTCTCTATACTTTGGGAATGTAGGACCACTGTGTAGGACATAGCAAACAAATTTTCAGAGTTTTTTAAAGTGTTTAACAGAGACCTTAGCACCTCGACGTCGGAGTACACAGAGTGAAGCAGAAACACTTGGGCCTTGCGAAAAGACTACAACTAAGCGTAAACAGGCCCCCTTTCCGTTTCCGGTGGCGGAGGGATATTGACTATTCCAACAGAACTCAATGGGATTTACAACATGCTAAATAAAACACTACAGGAACGTTTTTTCTTCACGAAACTGTTTTTTGGAACGTCATTGAACAGCGCTGACGACCCGGTGAGTAGCATATTTTAAAAAAAGAACGTTTGAGGTTGTTTTAAGGACATTATCGGACATGCACTATGGAAGCCATTATGAAGCAGCCAGGGGGGGGATTCTGCATGAGCCAAAAAGCAGAGACAGGACCAATTGTCAAAATTTTGGTGTCGATCATTCGATTTCATCCTGGACACTACAGAAAATGGGCTAAAAGTGTTAAAAACCGGAATTCTCCTTTAAATGTACAGCTTTTTGATAGGCATTTAAGGCACTCTCTGCACAGACAGATGACATGTAACCATAAGAGCTGGGAGAACATAAACAATCATTTTTTTTAAACCGGGTCCCTCAGTGGAAAAATCAGATGACATGAGTTTCAGTGTCTGCATGTGAGCAGCATCTTTTTTTGATGATGTTGTAGGTCAGCTCACCTCTGCCTCTTCACCGCCATGTTGCCGTGTTTACGCCCAGTGTTTGTGGCAGCGGTTTGGCTGTAATTCTGGCATATTTGCTGCAGCGTCTGTGTACACTTTTATCCTTTTTCAATTTGTTTATGAAAATATACCGTGTTCGTCTTTGTGTGGAACACGCCTCAAATAGCTTGCATGGATTTTTAGTTTAGATTTCAATATCAATATCATTCCCCTCAGTCAGATCTAGCTAGAAATGGCTCATTTGTAAAAGAAAAAAAGTGTTTAAATGCTTTCAAACTGTTAAATGCACATTTGAGTCAAAAGGCAAACAGTTTTTAGGTGTTTATTCTGTTCATCTGCTTTGACACCTTTAGTGTAAAGGTATTAGTTGTCCACTGTTTTTAAATTTCCCTTTTAACCAAGTAAAACTGAAATGCTGCTTCAATCTGAAGTCAAAAATGCTGATTAATGCTGACTTTTACCTTTGGATGGCACTCATGTTTCATTTTCCATCGTTCTAGTTCTCTGTCTGTCTGATATAATCAGGAAAAAATTTCTTGCCGTTGAATACGTCGTGTTTTTAGGAAGCATCCTCAGTTCTGTGCTCGCTGTTGTTACTATTTTGTTTCCTAATTTCCCCTCTTTTTTGTCTTTTCTTAACAGACACAAATGCCTGATCCTAAGACCTTCAAGCAGCACTTTGAAAGCAAACATCCAAAATCTCCGATGCCCCCGGAGTTAGTGGGCGTGGAGGCGTAATACACTCACCTCTCCTAATGAGGCTGTTGAAGCTAATTCAGGACAAACCCGTCAACGTTTCAGACAGACGGCATTTCATAAAAGTAAGTACACCCCTCACGTTTTTGTAAATATTTTATTTTTTGTATCTTTTCATAAAACAACACTGGCAAAAAATCACTTTGATACAATATAAGGTAGTCAGGGAAACGCCTGTATAACAGTTTGTTATCTGTCCCCTCAAAATAACTCGACACAGAGCCGTTAACGTCTAAACACGGGATTTTACTCCGTATTCTTGATGACATCACAGAGCTGGTGGACGTTAGAGACCTTGGGCTCTTCCCCCTTCTGTTAGAGGATTCATACAGCAGTATGTTTGTCATAAGGTACCATGTTGAACCTCTAGTATTGGTAAGTATGAGCCAGGACTCCAATCTGAAAATGACTGCTCCCCATTTATTAGCATTAGAGACCTTCTAACGCTAATAAATCACAGGACATCCAGGAGGGCAAATGGGTGATTTGACGAAATTTGGACATTTTGGTTTGGTAACTTCTGTATCCCATGGTCTAGACATAACGGCTGTGCTTGGAGGCATTTGAGTGGCCAGTAAAATGAAACGGTCATGCGAGCGCTACACTGACTACTTCAGACTGTATTAAAGAGTCATATCTTATATGTTTTTATCAAGATACAAAAAAGTGATGGGTGTACCCATTTTTATGTGATGCTGTGTAAATTAAGTGTTTGAGAAGAAATATCTTTATAATATAGATTGTTTCTCCGGCTGATTGTTCTGTGTTTGAATTGTCTTAACCAACCAGTCTGTGGTATTTTTTATTTTCCTTTATCTTCATCTGCCAAACATTGATCCAGGGGCATCACTGAAGGATGTAAAGATGCCTAACATGCTGGTACCCCCTCATCACTTACATCCTGTACTGTATGCAGTATTTAGTTATTTTGTCTGTTTTATAGCCACTCCACCATCTCAGGTCTCCCACTGTGGCAGAGTCGGCTGCAAACGTCTCTGCTTGGCAAAGTTCTGATGATTGAATCCAGGGTGTCCCTTAGCGGTTGTGGACAGATCAGTTGGTCACGTATCAGGTTTGGGTTAATCGCTATTCTACAGAATATTTGAATTCATTATGTGTTTGGAAAGATAAATGTTTTTTCCCTTTATTTCCAAGCTGCACTGATTTTTGTTCCTGTCTGGAGATTTTCATTAGATTCTAGCTTGTGTTTGTTTGTTTTTTGATATGAGGAATACGTTGAAGACACTGTGTTAGATGAGATCTCCCTGTCTACCCTGAAGATGTTCTTATATTGTATATAGTTTACTTCATGTGAGAGTTTGTGCAGAAAAAGATGAATAGAAGACTGAAAGTTTCTCACAGCAAACCCCATCCATGCAAAGAAATCGTCTGACCTCTGCTGCATCTCTGATTCTCAAGCTGTGTGGGATACATAAGCACAACTATACTCGTGATCATTTATTTTTGCCAGGGAGTTGTGCAGCATAATAAACTGTCTTTAAAGTCGTCTAATAATGGGGGAAGTGCAGTCTTTCTCTTCCTTTCACGATTGTGGAAAGTGTCCCAACTCTAAACCTGCATTAAAAGTCTGAATTGCATTACACTGTCAGACAGCTTCACTTCTTATTTATCTATAAACCTCATATCGTGTCAAACTAACTGACTTGATTTATAGAAAGGACATTTTTGAACATGTATGGACTTTCTACTATTGAACCTCTGACATTGTATCACTGTGCTATAAGTCTGAACTGATAACCTGCCATGTTTTTACTTTTTTAACAATCATATCATGTCAGCGTAATGTAATGTTTAGTCTTTTAATAAAGGTCTTTTATATCAGATCTTCAGCTCTGGGTTTTTTCTATAAACGTTCTTGCATATACAAGCAGAAGTCTGCCAAGGTGTATGTTTCTGGACACTTTAAAGTAATATGCCATTGATTGGAATGATTAAAGATCCAAACTCACTAATTGAAGCATTGTAGAAATGAATTACACACAGACCAATGATTTCAGTCATTCATTTTTTTTATTAAATAAGATCATTAAAGCAAAGAGAATAAATTGTTCCATCAGACCAATTAAAAAAATTGACCTAGTAAAAACCATGTATAATACCTGCTTTGGTATATTAAAGTGTTTTCTAGCTTAGCTATTTCTATGTAGTATGAAGGCATTCAGTATCTTACCTTTTTTTTTTTAGATTTATTTTACTTTCACTTAATGCAGTCTCGTAGAAATACAGAGCACACCCCGCTGTCTGGTCACACCCTTTTCCTTGTCAGTGAAGCTTGTAGCGGAGCTTGGGTCTATGCAAACACTGGGTCAAAACAATGCACTTCTGAGCCAACCGGTTTTGATAGAACAGATATTTATAAAAGTTTTCTTTTATCACGTTTTACCTGTCAAAAGCAAACAAAACACTGACCCTACACCATAAAATAATGTGTGAATGTAGAAATCTAAATTTGATTAGATCCTCTCCTGTGGAACCAACTACCAGTTTTGGTCCTTGAGGCAGACACCCTTTCTACTTTTAAGACTAGGCTTTAAACTGTCCTTTTTGATTAAGCTTATAGTTAGACTGGCTCAGGTTATCCTGAGCTATCTCTATAGTTATGCTGCTATGGGCTTAGACTGCTGGAGGACATAGGGACCCCTTTTTCATCATTTTACTTCATTCTATCTATTCTCCCACTCTGCAGAATCTGTTAGTTCAATCTCTAACGTTCTGCTCTCTCTGCTTTTTCTCATAGTAGCTTCATCTGGTCTGTTCCTGTTTGGCTGTGACTCCATCCTGGAGAGAAATATCTACGACGGAGTATTAGGGCCACTCATGAAGAGAAAAAATATTTTTGCCACGATGAGATTAAACTCGACATTTCGACTTTAAAGTCGACATGTCGACATTAAACTCAACATTTTGAGAATAAAGTTGAGATGTCATGTTGAGTTTAATCTCGACGTGTCAACAATAAAGTTGAAATTAGTTCAAGAGAGCCAACCGCTGCACAGGATACATGCACAGAATCCAGAATCAGACATGCCTTGTGTAGATGATTTGGTCAAATTGTACTTTAGAATCGGGTTTAGCAATAAGGAAATCCTCAGTCTTAGCCCAGAACCACAGTGTGATTATTAGTGTAAGGACGCTGAAAAGGTTGTGCCGAAAACATCATCTGTTCAGAAGGAAAAATCATAAAAGTCGACAGGGCGAGTTTAAAGTCGACACGTCGAGATTAAACTCAACAAGACATTTCAACTTTATTCTCGAAATGTTGAGTTTAATGTTGACATGTCGACTTTAAGTTTAATCTCGTCATGGCAAAAATATTTTTTCTCTTTATGTGTGGCCCTAATACTCCGTCGTAAATATCAGCTGTGCTGCTGCCATCAACACCTTTTTTAATAGATGTTGGAGATTGGCCTGTTTTCCAGTGTAGTCCTGTTTCTCTGACTGACTGACTGGATGTGCTCTCTTCATCCTCTGACATGGGAGCTGGCCCTGAGCTCGTCTGCCTGGCTGTGTGTTTCCTAGACAGGGCCGCCTTTTACAGCTGCTTTTTGTACGCTGTGAATTGGCGCCATATGAATAAACTGAATTGAATTAGAACAAACAAATGTATTTGATTTTAGCTCTCAGACTATGAATAATGTCTGTCTTTTTCACTGTTGGATTTTTGGGGAGATTTAGATTAGAGCTTGAGAAGTACTAACCCTTTAATAATAATGAATTCCTGTCACAGGCATTAACTCACTCTGTAAGCTAAAATATCTAATACTGACAGGTGAAATGTTAAATTCTGTGGGTAGTAGAGAGAGGCCAATAAATTGACCAGCTGAGAGAGCATAAAGTTAACAGGTACTGTGAGGTTGGAGAATAATTCAATTCAGTTTATTTATATAGCACCAAATTCACAACACATGTCATCTCAAGGCACTTTACAGTTCAACCAGATCATCCAGTCAAATTTAGAGAATAGAGATAGAATGGTAAAAAAAAAATTGTTTCTGTGTCCTCCAGCAACTGATCTCTATTCACTGCATTACCGATTGCCCATTGGTATTACGGGGTTGAAGTGTAGCCACTGGCTGCCATATTGATACTCCCTAGTTAGACCGGTCGCAATGTAAACAATATGTACGCTACAGCATCGAACAATGATGAAGTTGTCATTTTCTGGGGGACTTAAGACTTTTAAAATAAAGATGAATTCATCACTATGAGAGACACTGGCTGTTTATAGCATCAGTAGAATACTTTAAGTTATAATTGAAAAAATAGCATCAAATTGGATAGTCATTATGAAGTCTATAAATCATGTAATGTAACATATTATTCAAATCCATCACAATAAAATATATTAAAATAGATGTGCCAAAATTGCTAAATTGACAATGTACATGTAATATACACTATATTGCCAAAAGTATTTGCTCACCCATCCAAATTATTGGAATCAGGTGTTCCAATCACTTCCATGGCCACAGGTGTATAAATTCAAGCACCTAGGCATGCAGACTGTTTTTACAAACATTTGTGAAAGAATGGGTCGCTCTCAGGAGCTCAGTGAATTCCAGCGTGGAACTGTGATAGGATGCCACCTGTGCAACAAATCCAGTCGTGAAATTTCCTCGCTCCTAAATATTCCACAGTCAACTGTCAGCTGTATTATAAGAAAATGGAAGTGTTTGGGAACGACAGCAACTCAGCCACGAAGTGGTAGGCCACGTAAACTGACGGAGCGGGGTCAGCGGATGCTGACGCGCATAGTGCGAAGAGGTCGCCAACTTTCTGCAGAGTCAATCACTACAGACCTCCAAACTTCATGTGGCCTTCAGATTAGCTCAAGAACAGTGCGCAGAGAGCTTCATGGAATGGGTTTCCATGGTCGAGCAGCTGCATCCAAGCCATACATCACCAAGTGCAATGCAAAGCGTCGGATGCGGTGGTGTAAAGCACGCCGCCACTGGACTCTAGAGCAGTGGAGACGCGTTCTCTGGAGTGACGAATCGCGCTTCTCCATCTGGCAATCTGATGGACGGGTCTGGGTTTGGCGGTTGCCAGGAGAACGGTACTTGTCTGACTGCATTGTGCCAAGTGTAAAGTTTGGTGGAGGGGGGATTATGGTGTGAGGTTGTTTTTCAGGAGCTGGGCTTGGCCCCTTAGTTCCAGTGAAAGGAACTCTGAATGCTTCAGCATACCAAGACATTTTGGACAATTCCATGCTCCCAACTTTGTGGGAACAGTTTGGAGCTGGCCCCTTCCTCTTCCAACATGACTGTGCACCAGTGCACAAAGCAAGGTCCATAAAGACATGGATGACAGAGTCTGGTGTGGATGAACTTGACTGGCCTGCACAGAGTCCTGACCTCAACCCGATAGAACACCTTTGGGATGAATTAGAGCGGAGACTGAGAGCCAGGCCTTCTCGTCCAACATCAGTGTGCAACCTCACAAATGCGCTTCTGGAAGAATGGTCAAAAATTCCCATAAACACACTCCTAAACCTTGTGGACAGCCTTCCCAGAAGAGTTGAAGCTGTTCTAGCTGCAAAGGGTGGACCGACGTCATATTGAACCCTATGGATTAGGAACGGGATGTCACTTAAGCTCATATGTGAGTCAAGGCAGGTGAGCAAATACTTTTGGCAATATAGTGTACATGTATTTATTACATTGTTATGGGAATTACATCTTACATGTGTGATAATGTATGATATATATATATATGTGTATATATATGTATGTATATATATATATATATATGTATATATATATATATATATATAATTATTTGTCGAATGTTTGAGTTGCTTTTTTTCACACTACAAAAACAAAGAATTAACAAAGAATTACTACATTGACGTTTCACAGTGAATTACTTTGTATTTACTCTACTTTCTATTACGTTACAAACAATGTCAGTGGCTTATTTAGTCCATATCTTCCTTTCAGTCCAAGATAGCCAGACTAACATACTAGCCAGACTAACATATAGGCAGACTAACTATTGGATACATTGGCATATATATTGAATTTCTTGGATAGTTCATCCATTGACTGACTTTATTCTGCAGAATCTGTTAGTTCAATCTCTAACCTTCTGCTCCTTCTGCTCTCTCTGCTTTTCCTCAGAGTAGCTTTGCCTCGTCTGTTCCTGTTTGGCTGTGACGTCATCCTGGAAAAAAACATCAGCTGTGCTGCTTCTATCAACACCCTTGTTAATAGATGTTGGAGATCGGCCTGTTTTCCAGTGTGGTCCTGTTTCTCTGACCGTGACTGAGTGGATGTGCTCTCTTCGTCCTCTGACATGGGAGCTGCCTTGGAGCTCGTCTGCCTGGCTGTGTGTTTCCTGGACGGGGCCGCCTTTTACAGCTGCTTTTTGTATCTCTGCTTCTGTCTCCTTGAACCCCAGTCGGCCTCGGCAGATGGCCGCTCACACTGAGCCTGGTTCTGCTGGAGGTTTCTTCCTGTTAAAAGGGAGTTTTTCCTCTCCACTGTCGCTACAAGCATGCTTAGTGTGGGGGATTGTATTTGAGTCAATGAGTCAATGCAATCAACTGGTTTTCCTTAGATAGAAAACTTTGTATCAATTTGACTGTATGATCTGGTTGAACTGTAAAGTGCCTTGAGATGACATGTGTTGTGAATTTGGCGCTATATAAATAAACTGAATTGAATTGAATTGAATTGTGAGATTACCTGTGGAACGTCTTCCAACACCTGGCAAACTGCTTGTTTTTTTTGCAGCCAAAGCCAAATGCTACACACTTTCACTGTGTGTCTCCTGGTGGTAGTGGGGAGTACCAGCATGGCGGATGGTGGCTTCCCTTTTTTTT